ATGTTAGTGATTCTCAGGACATGGGAAGAAAAGAGAGCATATTCTCCCACCAGGATGACTCATACTCTCTAGCAATTCAGACGCTGCCCCTGGGGGAAGTCCTCCCCAAACTCCAAATGAATCACTGCCACTGTTCACCAGTGGTGCAGACGGGAGTGTGGCACTTGCAGGGGCCGGGAAAAGACATCTGACAGCCACTGTTCTACATGAAGCAGGAGGTCTTACTCTGTGAGTCCCAAGGAAGTACAAACTAACCACGTAATACTGACAAGTTCCCTCCAGACTGCTAAACATTACAAAGTGAGTGTTGTTACAACAATGATTCAGCATGGTTAAGGACAAAATAGATATATATATACTTTATATTATATATGTATTTTATCACATACTCAGGAAGGAATGCTGAGGTGCTTCATCCATCCAATAAATTGAAAATAAAAATTTTACATTTCTACATTTGTCAGTATACAGAATTCCGAAGATGGATCTTGAACTCAGGATCATCAATTTTCAAGAAAAGCCACATAATCGGTCAGTCTGGCTAACTGCTGTTCATTGGGAATTGGGGGAACTGGAGCAGGCTCTGTGTGTTAAAGAGAGAAAGATACCTCAAGTTAGACACAACTGTAACAAAACTGTGGCCCTGACATCCACCCCTACTAATGTCTTTAATTTTAACAAGAAAACTTCTAGATTTGTCCAGAATTTAGACAAAATCATACCTCTCAGAGGCATAGGACATTTCTGAAAAGAAAGCTAAGAAATCACAACTTTTAAGAGTACAGCTTTCCCCTCCTGGGAGTAAAGGGTGAAGTAAATAGTGAAGTATTCTATGTGAAAGTTATAAACAGTTCAGCTGCAACAACCTGGAAACTTCTCCACCCTACGCAGCCAGCGCCTCCCTGTGCTAAGCATTGCTACAGAAGAATTTTACGTGAACAGTACAACACAGAGAACCCCACTCTGGAGGAATTTACAGTCTAACATTTAAGGCACCACGCAGCATCCTGGGATGCCTTCTGAATAAAAATGCTGGTGAGAAGCCCTCTCGGGGCTCCTGTGCTGACGGTAAGAAGGCTCTCTGCTAGCTGGGCCAGAGGCTGCCACCCCCTCAAGGTAATTTATGGGGGGAGCCTACAGCCTCACTCTTGTAACCACAGGTACCACTATAAATCTAACAAGGTTAGAATTAAAAAAATTACAAACCACACACACAAAAAATAGAACAATTATACATTTTAAAAACATGTACATGAAAACACTTACCTGATAAGGGACTAAACTTGTTAAAGGAAACATCCAGGGATCCTGCAACTAAAGTTAGAAAAAAAAGTTACAACCCAATTTGTAGAAGTCATTGTAAAGACCTGTCACAAAACAGTTAATTTAATGTGTTATGTACCTATGATCATTTATTTCTCAAAAATGGAAAACTATTTTACACCAATCTATTTCAGTAACCTGTACTCTAGTGGCGAGGCCAGGTCTTGCCCTCTTTATACCCTCATGGGACTGAGCACTGAGATCTTGTGCAGTACTTGACTGTGTGTCTAAACAGTAGACATTTAGAGCAGGTGGAAAGAAATTCGGGTGGATGGGGATGTGGGAGCGTTTATAGAATGGTCGTCAGAGTGTACTCTAAAGACTCGGCAGAAAAGGACGTGCCTGGTCAGCAGGAGGAACAGGATCCACTAGGCAGGAATGAGCTGGGTCACTTCAGGGAGCAAAACTGAGGGGCTGGGAATTCAGAGTAAGATTCTGACTAGTCATGGAATTCAAGGCCTTATCGGAAGGCTAGAGAACTGAACTCCGTGAAATGAGAGCCACAGGGGAAGAGTCTGCGTGACTCAAGTACAAATACTCAGCAGCCGAATATTTAAAAAGTTTTCAGAAGGCAATAGTTTAGATATTAAGGATAAACAGAAATGGCCCCATAAATAAAAGGATGAGAGATTAATATTTAGTAAAAATCAGTTGTACTAAGGACTATGAAATACCTACATAAAATAGTCGTTTATGTAAGGAATATGTTTTTAAGAATTTAAAACTAGTGGCGTTCCATGCTACACAGTGGGTGAAGAGCTCCACCTACCTGGCTTTCTGGGCAGAACCATTCTGGTGGTGGAGTCGGCTTGCCATCCTTGTTCTAATATACCTAAAACGTGGATTTCAGACAGATGAAGAAATAACAAAAACACTCAGCATGATCCACAATCTGTCCATGGCATCGCTGTTGTATGGGAGGCCTGCTATGTTTAGTTCAACCTGGCACCTGCGCTTTTACTTGTCAGATGTGCTCGTCAGTGTACTTTACAAATATTTCTCAAACACATATCCAAGTCTCATTCTACTCACACTGTTACTCGAAAGATA